ATCAGTACGTTGACATCTCCCCGTCACCTCCAGAAGAATCTCCAGTGGCCTACTCGTCTGTCCACGCCTGGATGTCTAATGCCAGGCACTCACCCCCGGCCTGTCCAGCACTGACTCGTTTCCCAGGAGCTGTGCAAACCTGCCCCTCTTCCCACCCCAGCCAGGGGCACCTCCATTCACCTGGATGCTCAGGCCAGAAATCTTGTTCCCATCCTGAGTCCTTGCTCCCTCAGCCCACCTTCAATCAGCGAATATTGTCATCTCAGTCTTAAAAAAAGATCCCCAATATGGTCACGTCTCCTGACCACCACTGCCCTCCAGGCCACCGTCCTCTCCCCCCGCAATACAACACGACAGGTTAGTCTCCTCTACTTCTGCCCGCACCTTCCCCCCACAGGTTCCTGCCGGCACAGCTGGAGAGCAGGGTACATGGGCACCAAATCTATGCCTAACAGACCTTAAGGCCCATATTCTTTCCCTATACCCGGGTTTCTCAATCTTGGCATTATTGATACTTGGGACCAGATCATTCTTTGTGCATTGTGAGATGTCCAGGAGCGATCCTGGTCTCTACCTACTAGATGCCTAGAGCAGCCCCTCCTCCTCATCCCAAGTTGTGACAACCAAAAATGTCTCCAGACGTGGTCAAATGTCATGGGGGGCAAAAGTGCTCCCTGCTGAGAATGACTACTTACACCACACAGGCAACCACAGTGCATTCTACCTTCTAGCACCTGCTCCCCGGGGTTCCCACCCATGGCAGGGCAGTCTGTACCTTTCTGTGAGTCAACTTCTCACATCTTCTGCTTTTGGTGCAGTTCCTGCTCCAACAGGGCAATCTGTGCCAACCCCCACTCCCTACCTCCTGTTCAAATCCCACCCTTTCTTCAGCCAGTCCAGGTCCCCCACCTCCAGAAAGTCCCTATGACTACCTCAGCCCACAGGGAGCACTGCCTCCAAGTTAACAACTCTCGTTCTCTTACTGTCATTCAGTCACCTAACCCCAAACACAAAATCGGTCCTCAGATAGAGAGGCTCTTGGAAATCATCTAGCCATTTACTCAATGGCCATTTATTAAGCACCATTGTATACCTAGCACTGGAAATAGAGATGTGTAACTGATAAGGTCCCCACCCTTCTTTTATGATAAGGGAAACCAGGCTTTTAAAGGGGCAAATGCTCTTTTTCAAATCTCACCTGCCAAGAAAGGAATTCCATATTCTGCATTACTCTCCAGGGGGCAGCCTAGCTGGGGTGGCAGCCACACCAGGGTAGAGTTGGTGCCCAGCCCCCCGGAGCACCTGGCTCCCCTCAATCTCTGTGACTGTAATGTGGGCAGTGCAGTTTAGTGGTGCAAGTGTGGGCTTGGAGTGAGAAAGACCTGGGATCCAGTCCTGGCTCCTCTGTGAACATTGGGACCCCCGAATGATCTGAACTCTGGACCTCAGTTTCCAGTAAAGGAGGATAAAATCATCTGCATCTTGGGAGGGGAGTCAATGGCATCCAGTACAGCGCTTGATGGTGGCTTGTGACAGGGGCTTACGCCCCTCCTGGCCCCCTTACAGCAAAACTCTCCCAGGGCCCCCAGCACTACCATCCTTGCTCTCTTGCAGCCCAGACTCACTTCAGCCTGTCCCCACTGCTCCACTGAGTCACCACACCTTCCTCCTTGTTGCCCCTCTGAGGACCAAGTCTCTGTTTTCATCAGCACCTTAAAAACTGACCACTTCCTCCTCCTGCTAAAGCCTCTTGGATGCCCACCACACTCCCCTGCTTTTTCTTTTCAAGATTTTATTTATTCATTCAAGACACAGAGATACAGAGAGAGAGAGAGAGAGAGAGCATGAGCAGGGGGGAGTGGGAGAGGGAGAAGCAGGCCTCCCGCTGAGCAGGGAGCCTGATGCAGGGCTCGATGCCAGGACCGTGGGATCATGACCCGAGCCGAAGGCAGAAGCTTAACCATCTGAGCCACCCAGGCGCCCCTCTCCTGCTTTTTCTTCTGCTTTTCTGGACTCCTGGACTTCTTTGCTGGCTCCTCCTGTCAACCAACCTGTGGAAGTTCATTCTCCCCTGAGTAATCTCATCCCATCTGATGGACATTCCAGTGATTTCTAAATTCTTTTCATTAGCCCTACCCTTTTCTGCCAGCTCCAGGCTGGTACATCGAAGAGTCTCCTTGGTAGCTCCACCCAAGATACCTCAAACTGAAGGTGCCCCCAACCTATTCCAAAGTTATTAGTAAATGCCAGCACAATACACCTGGTTACTTAAGCCTAAGTCCCCAAATGAATGATGAACTCATCCTTGACCACTCTTTCCTTCCTTCCTCCAACCCTATCCTATCAGTTCCTCCTCCCAGATCCCTGTGGACCAGCTACCCGTCTTCACCTGCGCTCGGCCATCAGTCTAAGGCACGCTGATCTCTCACCTAGGGACTGCAGCGGTCTCCTAACTGGTGTCCCTGCTTCCTCCTTTTCCCCGACACAGCCAGGAGTCCACACAGCAGCGGGAGTGAAGGCTTACGCACTGACAGCAGACCACGCCCTCATAGAGCGAATCCCAAGCCCCGAGCAGGCCCGCGAGGAGGCCTTAAACCATCTGGCCTCTGCCCGTGTCTGCAACCTCGTTCTCCCGCCACTGCCCCGGAGCCCGCCACGCTGGCCCTTGGCCGCTTGCCAGGCCCGTCGAGCCCGCGTCCTTCTTTGCACTAGCCGTTCCCTCTCCCACGGACCTTTGCGCGGACCTTTGCTCGGCTGAACCCTCCTCGAGGGCCCGCTCCTCATCCTCTTGGCACCTCCCACCAGCTGACGTTGCCCTGTTTGCCCACGTGTTTACTGCGCGCCCCGCACTCCCACCCCACCGCGGGATGCGGCTCTCGGCGGGCTGGGCCGCGTCCGTGCAGGTCCGCCCGGGTCGGGGCCCAGCTCGTCGCCGCGAGCGCAGGCGGCCGGGAAGGGCGAGTGGAGGCCCCGGCCCCTC